CTGAAGTAGCTAATTTAGCAGGCGTAAACATTGTTAAATTTGCAGATATTTAGTGAAATGGCAATGTAATAACTTGTGAAGTATACTGTAATTGTATAAGATAAAAGCAATTTGTTATTAAATTGGATTTGTTTCTTTTTTTACTTCATATTATAATTAGACATCAAAAGGATTGCACGTTATAAAGAATAATTAGAATATACTCTATGGTTAAGTAAGGGAAAGGCTGTAGGTGTGTTTCCCATCAAGTTGATGCATTCATATTGCTAGTTTGCATTTCAGACCATATCAATTTGAAGTATCTTTTGTATGTCTTCGTAATTTTCTGGTAATGTTCTTCAGATTGTTACTTGTAATTCTTCAAGATTGAGTTTATATTTTCAAGTGAAGAGGACAGCCTATTTTGACTAAATATTTGTTTCTTGCCTCCCTACTATTACAAAAGTAGTTTTGGGTCTCTGAATTTTGAGGTGAGAGCTACACAACAGTAGGCAAAACCAGCTTCTCACATGGTTTACATTTCCTGAGAACACTGGCTGGATAGAATGAAAGCAGCTAAGTGCACAAAGGAAAAGGCCAGAAGAAGACCAGAACTGTGTGTATGTGAAAATCAAGAAATAATTGAACTTTTTTTTTGTTGTTTTCTTAAAGAAAGCAGTTTCTTTAGGTGAACAGGCTGGAAATTCTATACCATAAATTAAATTTGAAAGCTGAATTAATAAAAAGTTCATCAATATACAGTTTTAACAAAATGTACATTTTTAATTATAAGGGAATCTTCCTTTAAAATTAAAATTTGGTAATTGAATTAATACTAAATTACTAAATTTAATAATTGTGATAATAACTTATGGAAACTGTCATTTTAACTGCCTGAATAGTAATGCAGAATTGTGTTGCAGAGTGGGTAAATAAATGAATTTCCAGCAGTTAAAATCTGAGTCGAAGAAATGTTTTTCCCACTCCCTAAGTGTTTCGGTAATTAGAATTAATAAAGTATATCAAGCTAGTTCCAATGTTATTTTTTTAAAAGCCATATTTACAACTTTCTCCTTTTATACCAGTCACTGTTGATGAGAAAAAAAGTTGCCAAATTAGTTTTATTCTGTCAGATTTGTATTTTGTACTTAGCCTAACACCAGTGTTTAATTTTCCCGTTTTTAGCCTTTGCTTTGGGCTTTGACTTCTATTATTTAATATTTATTTTTGATAATGTGCTTTGCATTCACCTTTCTATGGTTAGTAGTGTTTTCATGCATAATTCACAGATGAGATCTTTGCTTTTGATAAAGTAGGGTATTATAAAAGACATCTGCTGGTTCAGTCAAAAGTAAAGGTATTACTGTAACCATCAACAAATGTCTTAAGATTTTCATTTCATTTTGGCCCTTGTATTATTACGATGTGACCTTGGGCAAGTTCTTTGAGATTTAGGCTTTCATTCTGCAAGATAGGGAAGCCCTCTGGGCCCATCTGGGTTATAGGGAATCAACTGAGGTATAACACCTATGGAGATGATTTGAAAACTATTAAATAGCTCACAAACAAAAGGTATTGTTATCATTTTCTTATGGGAGTTCAGATGTGACCATTGAGGGCCTGAGTCTTTTTGGAAGACTTCAGGGAATAGGTGAAAGTAGAATTAAGAAAGACCTAGGGAACAAAAAAACAGAAACACCCTAAGTGTCCAAACATTTAAAAAAAAAAGTAGTTGTGGGCCTGGGTAACAGCGAGGAAAGTGGTGTTCTCAACAGTAATAGAGAAGTTTGGAAGAGGGGAGGGTTTTGGGGAAAAGATATGAGTTTAGTTTTGGACATGTTGAATTTAACTTGTCTACAGGACAACCAATTTAAGATGTCCATTCAGCAACTGGAGATTCAGTAGTTGAGGTCAGCAGAGAGGTTAGGACTGGAGAATTAAATCTGAGAATCATGTGTCTAGAGATGACAATTGAAACTATGGGAGCTGATGAGCACTCAGTATATACATGATTTTAAAGTTAAGGGTATTTAGTTTTCCTGGCTAAAATGGAGATCTCAGTTTAAAGATCAAATGTGGAAATATGGCAAAGAACTTTTCAGTATACAGTTGTATTTTCATACTATAAAAAGTGTAACTTCAGTGTGTTTGGTCTTTATACCCCCCTATACCTTCCATCTTCATGTGTTGTGATGGTTAAAAAACATATCAGCTGGTGGCTAACTTGGCCATGAGTCTCAGTGAATGTATGCTGTGCCTCAAAAGACAGATGACAGTGAAAGGAATACCAGATGAGTTGTACATGAAGACTGTCCAGCTTGTAAAACCTGCTACAATGGTGTGCACTGGCCTAACCTTGAAATCTGGGATTACGGCATAAGGCAACAGAATTACTGATATTGGAATGACTGATCAGGGGCAAGTTACATAACTTTTTTCAGCTTCACTTTCCCCTTTGTAGAATAAAAAACATTAAGCTCTGATTACGTACAAAAATATTGTGCTAGGTGGTGGGTGTGTGGACAAGGAAAAACCTATAACGTGTACACAAGTAAATAAATACAAGGTTATCTGATAAAGAAGAGAGTTCTAAAATTTTGAAGGAGGCGTGTGGGCCTTGAAGGAAGTTAAACATTCAGAGGCAAAGGTGTGAAGGCAGCATATGGATTTCCTGTTAAAAGAAACCTGAAAAGCCAAAACTTGGCCAGAGAGTGGGATGATGCAAGAACAAAATACTGTGTACAACATCAGGGAAGTTTTCTGTATTGGATTTTTTTTTCTTTAATGGATTCATTCATCATAAGGGAAAGAGTTCAATCTGAGGGCTTCAGTGAGAAATGCTTATGATGTAAAGACAAGACATAAAAAAAGAACTAAAGTTTAGAAAAGTAAAGTCAAGAGAGCAATACAGAGGAGCAATACCTGTAGTAGTATAACAACATTGCAAAATAAGTCATGAGGATGAATTCAACAAGCAATTTAATAAACAACTACTACTACTATGTATGAGGCTCTGTCCTACATAGTACTAAAGCAAAATGAAAAAGCAGCCTCTGCCCTCAAAGAGTTTCCATTCAGTTGGAGATGGGGAGTGAGAACATGTACACATTTAATTCACTATAATATTTACACAAAGTATTTGGGGAGGGAAAGAAGGGCATAGGTCTAACATGAAGAGCAATTTAATAACATAATAAGGGTTTTAGAGGGTGCAATGGAAGGGTAAGAAAAAGTGAGATAATTTATGAAGAAGTGAGAAATGGATTTGGGTTAACATGTATAGATATATGGGAAGAGGGAGTGGTTGTCAGAAAAAAAGGCTTTGGTCTACCCAGTCCATAATTTAGAGCATAGGCACTAAGTGGAGCCACAGGGTAGTGGAGTGGAACCTTCTGTCATGGCAAAAGCAATGTTAATTTGGATATCAATTCTAAAAAAAAGTGGGGAAGTGAGGAAACTATACATGGCTTGATGGTTAAATCAAGGGGTCAGTGGAGTCTGGGGCCAGGCTGGTTATAAAGGAGTGAAGTAGACTTGAAGGACTCCCCTCAGCTTGCTGAGCTCTGCAACAAGCTGAGTCCAATGTGGATAAACTGACATGATGTTTGTAAAATGTTTGGGGAAACTTAAAAGTTGTCAGTGAACGAGTATTTGGCTAGGTACCATGGGAACATTAGCTAGTACTATTAGAATGCAAATATAAGGCAGTGTCATTTAGACACAGGTTCTTGCTTATAATCAGCATCTAGTCCAATCATTTGCAAGTGTTCAGTTTTTAATAAGTGCAAATAATTGGGTGGCCCTGCAGTTTTAGTGGAAGTACTGCATCAGACAGAAGCAATCTTAAAACTCAACATATCTGAAACTAAACTCATTATCTTTCTACCCAAATCTCTTTCAAACTTTCCCCTTACTGTTGAGAACACTACAATGCCCCTGTCATCCAGGCTCACATCATTCTGAAAGTCCCTCTTTGATCCCACATGTAGCCAAACTGTCATCAAGACCTGTGGATTCTGCCTTCCTAACATCTCTTGTATATGCTCCCTCACTCTGGTGCAGGACCTTACCACTTCACATCTGGTTTAGTCATTTTCAGTGGTGTCCTGGTCATGACCCCATTTACAGTTTTCTTGGTAGAGATACTGGAGTGGCTTGCTATTTCCTTCTCTAGCTCATTTAACAGATGAAACTGAGGCAAAGAGTTAAGTGACTTGCTCAGGGTCACACAACTAGTGTCTCAGGGCAGATCTGAACTCAGGAAGAGGAGCTTTTTGACTCCAGGCCCAGCACTCTATGCATTATGTCACCTAGCTGACCACATCTGGACTAGTGTAATAATCAGCTGGTTGGTTTCTCTGCTTCATCTCTTCCCACCCAGCTGCTAAAATTATCTTCTTAAAGCACAAGTTTGACCACACCACTCTCCTGAATAAAAACTCCAGTGGCTCCCTGTTACTTCAAGGATCAAATGTAAAATTCTGTTCACTTTTTAAAGTCACCATAACCTGACTCCTCCTTATCTTTCCAGTCCTCTTATGTTTTACTCCCCCATCCACATACTATACGATCCAGGGACACTGGCCTCCTGGCTATTCCTCGAACATACTTTCAGGCATTTTCATTGGCTGTCCTCCACATCTGGGATGCTTCCCTTTTCTTCACCTCCTGGCTTCCTTCAAGGCCCAGCTAAAGTCCCACCTTCTAGGAGAAGCCTTTCCCTTCCTGTACGTCTTGTTTACATGTAGTCTTCTGCAGGTCCTCTCTCATCAGAATGGAAGCTCCTTGAGGGCAGGCACTACGTTTTTGTCTCTTTGTATCCTCAGCGCTCAGCACACAGCAGGTGCTTAATAAATGCTTGCTGACAGCTATAATGAGGACGAAAAATAAAGTTTATGCGATTGTGCTCGTGGACTTGGGAATGGCACTCAGAGCGTGGCCAAGGGCAGTTCAACTTAACTCCCATAAGTTTTCACTTTCTCACATACAAAATAGACAAGTTAATATTTTGCTGTACCTACCTCACAGGGTTGTAAGGAAAACAGCCTTGTTTTGATCTTATCCTGTCCTCAATTTTCCTACCTGGCGGTCACTTTTCTTTGACCACCCACCCCTTAGGAGCAAACACAAACACCCAGACCCGCTTCCGGTTTCGGTTACGGAAGCGTTCTCAGAGCCACCGCAGGGAGGACACGTGACAAAACAATCCCGGCAGGCCTCGTTCTCACGCGTTGAGAACTTCGGTTCCGCCCCCCCTTGTGTCATTCTGCGCCTGCGCGAGCGGAGCCGGACTTCGTCCCCATGGCAACGACTGTTGGGGGTCAGGGTAAGGTTGACTTGCTTTAGGCTTCCCTCAGTCCCTTGCTCAGACTCCGGAATTGGAGCTTCTCGGGGGCTGAGGCCATCTGGTCCTACTGCGGTCCTCTTACGCCTTGCGAAGCTAAGGAGGTGCTTTGAAAGGGCCTATCAGCGCTTCCTTCTGCCCCCCCATCCCCCCGCCCCTGCCGAAGACGTGGTTTCTAGACCGAGGAAGTCTCGCGAGATTATCTGCCTCCGAGCTTGCCGTGAGAGAAAGGGAGGGAGAGAGGGAGAGAGGGAGAGAGAGAGAGGGAGAGGAAGAGGGAGAGGGAGAGGGAGAGAGAGAAAGAGGAAAGAAAGACAGAGAGACTGTCTGTCTGTCTTGCTGGGGGCAAGACCTAAGGCGCAGTCGGACCTGATGTGGGCAGAAAGTTTCATGAGGCGTAACCCCCCTTCTCTGTGCCTCAGTTTTTGCATCTGCAAAATGAAGACATGGGACCAGATTCTCCCCAGAGTCTCTTCCTCTCACATCAAGTCAGTCAAGAGTGCATTTACTTGTTGCTGTTTTCTGCCTCGTGCTAAGAGCTGGTGACACAAATGTAATGAATGAAACAGTTTGTACTCTCTAATTATATTGTAAGACAGGAGTTAAGCCTACATCCATATATAGATGCATATACTATATATATTTATAATTAAGTGTATGTGTATGTTTAATTATATGTATAACTAGGTAGCTAAATACAGATATCTTTAAGTATATCTGTTTTGGGGCAGCTAGGTGGCTTAGTGGATAGAGCACCTAGCCAGCAGTCAGGATGGCCTGAGTTCAAATCCAGCCTCAGACACTTATTTGCTGTGTGATAAATATTAAAAGAATAAATGAAAAGTAGCTTACAGAGAGAAAAAACATCATGTAGTTTATGGAGGGAGGACACTAACAGTTTAAGGGGTGAGGATCAGGAAAGGCTAATTTATGTAGATGTAGATATGAAGCTGAGGATCGAAAGAAGAGAGTGCCTTTGAAACAAGGAAAGGAGGTTTTAAAAAAGTTTTTACTGCTAATCACTGTAAGAAGTAAACAGTGGTTTTAAAAGACAAAAAAGGGAAAAGTTATCTAGCTCAAATTTCTTCTGAACTCCAGTCCAGCATCTTCAGCTTAATCTTGGACATCTCTACCAGCATGTAGAGTGCCTGATAGGACTAAACATGTTCCAGATGGAGCAGATTATTCTCTACCTACATACTTCCCCATCTAAACTCTACTCATTCCGTTGAGAATACCACCATCCTCTCAATTAGGGCGGTATAATATCTTAGGGCAGCTAGGTGGCACAGTGGGATAGAGCACTAGTTTTAGAATCAGGAAGACTCAGCTTCATGAGTTCAGATCTGGCCTCAAACACTTCCTAGATGTGTGACCCTGGGCAAGCCACTTAACTCTCTGCCTCAATTTCCTCATCTGTAAAATGAGCTGGAAAAGGAAACAGCAAACTAATCCAGTATGTATGCCAAGAAAACCCCAAATGGGGACATGGAGAGTCAGACATGACAGAAAACGATTGAACAATAAATAGTATCATAGATATAGAGTTGGTAGAGGTGTTAAGATATCATTTAGAGGAATTTTACAGATGACAGTGAAATCTCAGAGAAGTGACTTACAGAGCTTACCACTCCCACTCCAAATCCACCACACTGTCCCCTCAGGATTGCCTCTATTTAACTGTTAACCAAGATACAAGATTAAGTGAGGAGTTATCTTTGACTCATCCCTGTCTCCAACCTATCCTTACCCAATCCAATAATGTGCTTTTATTTATTGATTCTATCCCAGGAGTTGATTCTATCTGTATCCCTCTCTTCTTTCATACTGCTACCTCTAATTTAATACCTCATTACTTGGATGATACCTATGATAACTTCCTAATTGATTCTTCTACCTCCAAACACTTCCCTATTCTAATTTGTTCTTTAAATAGCTGTCAAAATGTTTTCAAGGTGTAAAGCTTACAAAAAGCCCCGGGCTTTATTGTAAGAGGACCACCATGCAAACTCCAGCTTTACAACCTGTTTTCTGTGTGAACTTGGGGAGGTTACTAAACCATTCTCAGGCTCAGTTTCTTCTATAAAAATGGTTTGTCTAGATTAAGATCAATAAGATCTCTCCAAATTCTGGTATGATCTTATCACTTTCCCCTGTTCAAAAATGATTCATCCTCGGACATCCGTAGCCACTTCTGGAGTAGTCCTTTCTCAGAACTTTGTACAAAGTTATGACTAGTTTTTCCCCACCAGAGTCTTAGTATCACATCCTTTCAACATATTCTCTTTTCTTTACTGCTTTTTACATTGTCCTATGTATCTGTGTATATTTCCTTGAAAACTCATATATGTTCCTATTGATAATTTTTGAATATCATTTTTATATTGAATATCATTTCCAACCTTGAAATTTTCTGTCCTTCACTTTGTTTTCTGTCTTTTTACTTGTTTGATCTTTCCTCCACTTAATTGACCTTTATTTTCTTCAACATATGTTTTTCTTTAAGACCAGAAAGCAAGGGGAATTATGGTTAGGAAAAATAGCTCACATTGTTAGCCTGTTATGGTTTACAGAGGCCATCCCCTCAGATCCAGCCTTGTAAGATGAATGGTGTAGGTGGTGTTATCCCCATTTTACACGTGAGGAATTTAAGGGTCAGAGAAATTAAATGACCATCACCCAGAGTCATTCAGACAGTCATTAAGTGCCAGAACTGGAACCCAAACCCCGTTCCTCTGATTCTGAATTCTGTTCTTAGTCCTATGCCACTTATCTTCAACTAACTTTAATTTGAATATTTTTGTTTCAGGATATGGGAGTGAGAACATATTTGAATATTTCCTTAAAAATAAACAGATTAAATCAGAAGATGGAGCTGAAGTCATCTGGTATCATGCAGCTAACCATAAGTCACAAATGAAAGAGGCACTAAAAAGTAAGTGAATATTTGAGTTTTAGACACTTTAGAGTCTAACAACTTATTGAATTTCTCTATGTTTTTTAGGTTATTGGATGAGGTCCAAGGAACAGTACCATAAGATGACATATATTCTAGGAAACAAATTTCAGAGAGGACTCCCTGAATTTCATTTTTTTAAAAATAAAAATCTATCACAGAAGGGTCTTCTCCATTCTGATGGCTGTAATAGAAAGTGATATCTCCCTCTTTTAAGCTCCAGTAGCACTTTGTAGTACTCATATGACATTTATCTTGTACTACCTTGTTTTGTTGCCATTTCGTTTCTTCTCCTCTCCTGTTAGATTGTAAGCTTTATGATTCAGGCACTGCCTTTATACTTCTTATAGTACCCATTCCCATATATGATAGGTGCTTTAAAAAAACCCCATTTGTTGAATTAATGAATCTTTTAAATATCCACCATAACTAATAAACAGGTTCCTTGGACAATATTTATTTCCTTTGCAAGAATTAAAATGTGCTTATCTAGCTATGACTGCACTCTCATATTAAGCCAGAAAGTAACTAATGGTCCTTGTTCCTTTCTTCTTCATTTCCCTGCCTTGTATTATGCACAGTATACATTTAATATTTCATACTTTATGCATAATGCTAATTTATTGGTGATAAAATCATAAATACTTGTATCTCAGGCTGATTCAGTTATAAGATAATACCCCTTCAAAGGATTATTCAGTCACTCTTAATGATCTTAACTGGTCAGGTAGTTGCACTTACAAAACAGTTTGAAATCAGTCAAAGGTCTGTAATATTTTAGTATTCCATCATGTTAAGACTATTTTAACATTAATGCAAATTTATACAATAGTTCGACTCTTCTTATTACCATTTCTTTTTGCCTCCATATTATTTTAATTGCCTCAGATTACATAGCTTTTAAAATATGGGATATGAACTTTGACTGTGAAAAACATTCAATTAAATTTTCTATTGCACTGAAATAGTAGATTATAGGGCTTTAAAGTCATTAGAAGGTCTCATGCATTCTTTCTGTTTCCAAGTAAGAGTACCTGATCTGTTATAATAATTTAAATTTCTTGAAGATTTTCAGAAAGATTTCATAGCTTCCCTTTGTAATGTCTTTTAGTGTTATATGACTCTTCCCAAGAATTAGAAGGTAACTGTGCCAGGTAACTGATTGAACCTTACTGTTTCTTTGAACTTCCATTTTGTCAACTTTCAGAATAACACAGTATCTAAAAGAGAAACAGCTGGATGAAAAGCAAAAATTCAATGAAACACCTGGATGTTTATCCATAGCTAGATGTTTGGAAACACTTGGATGATATCTTTTTTTTTTTAAATCATAACGTTTATCATTGTGGAAACAGACTCCTTAATCGGAAACTTTGAAAAATAATATTACTCTCATATCAGTAGCAGTATCAGTGTTGGGTCTTTGTCATTTCACATCACTCAGACACCTTCTTCCACTGTCTCCTCTTTTACCTCTATCTTTCATGAAGAGGTGGCCCTTATCCTGGCTAAGGCAAATCTCTTGATGTACATCCTTGATCCCATCCCATTCTGTTTTTTTCAGTCTCCTCTATCATCCCCATTCCTTTTCTAATTTTTGATTTCTCTCTAAATACTGGCACCTTAAGCCATTGCATGCAAATAACTCATGTGTGTCCCATTCTTTAAAAACCCTTACTTGATTCTACAGTCTCTACTATTATCCTACCTCTCCCCCGTCCTCTCTTTCCCCCAACTCTGCACCCCCACCACCGAACTTCTTAGGAAGGCCATATACTTTCTTTGCCTCCACTTCCTTTCCTCTTAC